GAAGTTTGTCAACTTAATAAGGAACATCCATAGAAATAATCAACACAGTCTGTGGTGGTCATTCATAATTGTCCATTTGATGAGATTTAGAGTCACTCTGGAAATAAGCTTCTGAGAATGTCTGTGTGGAATTATCTAGACTAGTTTATTTGAAGTGGGCAGACCCACCCATTCCATGGCCTCAGGTCCTGGGCTGAATAAAAAAGAGAAAGGCAGCTGAGCAACAGTATTTACTTCTCTTTGCTTTTTTGAAAAAAAAATGGCTTCATTTATTTTATATGTATGAGTGTGTTGCCTACATGTGTGTATGTGCCCCACATGCATGCCTGGTGCCTGTGGATAGCAGAAAAGAGTGTTGGATTTCCTGGAGCTGGAGTTACAGATGATTGTGAGTTATCATATGGGTGCTGGGAATTGAACCCTGGTCCTCTGCAAGAGCAGGCAGTGCTCTTGACTGCTGAGCCATCTCTCCAGCCCCTCTCCCTAGGTCTTGATTGCAGATACTGCAGGATCTTCCTGGAACCCCTGCAGCCATGATTTCCCCACTGGTTTGGACTATACCCTCAAACTGCACCAAAAAGCCCTGCCCTTCTTTAAAGTGTTTTTCCCAGTTTTTATTGCAGCAACAATCAGGTACCTAATACAGCCACCTTTCAACATGGTTCTAGTCAATGTGATAAGGGCTTAAAAAAAAAAAGGAAATGGCAGGCGTAGGTGATTGTCAGATGATATAAGGGCCTGTAAGGAAGTTGCAACACACGCAAAGAAGCTGAGTTCATCAAAGTTCAGACTCAAGAAAAGTATAAAAAACTAGTTATGTAATTATATGTTAAAATGAATGTGGGGTGTATACAGGAAAATACAATACCATTTATAATTACTAAAAAAATGAACATTTAGGACTGGCAGGATGGCTCGGTGGTAAAAAAAGGCCCTTGTCCCGCAAGCCTGGTGACATGAGTTCAATGCTTAGAAGCTACGTAAAGGTGGAAAGAGGGAAGCAAAATTGTCCTCTGAACGTCACACACATGCCACTGACATGTGCTACCCCTCCACACAATAAGGAATGCCTAAAATTTATGTAAAACCATTAGATGTATACCCAATGATAATAAGGAATGCCTAAAATTTACGTAAAACCATTTAGCTGTGTACCCAATGAAGCATATAGGACTTGTGTGCTGAAATGAAAACAGCTGATGAAAACTGTCTAAGAAAAAGAAGGGTGGAGACATGAAAACTCGCCAGCCAGAGCCAGACCGAGAGGGAGCAAGACATGCAGGACAGGGAAATGTCATGAGTCACGTGGCAACACGCAGCTGAATAAAAATGGATTAATTTAAGTTATAGGAGCTCGTGGGATCGACTGAGCTTTCATAATTAATTTAAGTCTCCATGTCGTGGTTTGGGAGCTGGCTGACGGGACAGAAAAATCCACCTACAAGCAGGCGGACTCATTCTACTACCTGATCTCAGCAGTTATTCCACAGTCACTGTTGTCAAGACGTTATGGTATTGCTGGAAGCAGAGCTGTATGGACCAATGGAACAGAATATAAAATTCAGAATTAATTCCACTAACTAATTTTTGATAAATACACCGAAAGAATTTACTAAAGACAGGCCCCTGAAGGAGTTAGGGATTTGCCCCCAATTGTGTGATCCTGTCATAGTGGTTATTTCAAGCTGAAACCTTGTCTTTCTTACGCCTGGAGTAAAAATAGCCTTGATCACCAAAGATTGATGATGGCGGCCATAAACCTACACAGATAAGTTCTTTACACACCCCTTGCCTTCCACTGGTGTGTACACCAGTCCCATCCATCTCCTGATGACTTCCCTTGACTTTACTACCACAGTTCAGAGGTCCATTTGTCCTACCATTTCTTCACAAGTTTATTGTTCTTTATCTAAACACGTCTAAAAGCACACCATGCTCTGCTTGTATTTTTCACTTTAGTCTCTTGTGAAGATCTCACTCATGTGCACATAAAATTCACACTACCCATGTGCTTTCTCTTGCTAATCAGCTCCCGTGTTTGTTTGATTGCTGGGGACAGCTAAACAGCTGACGGGGGATTTCTTACTCCCTTCAAGTCTTCTCAACAAATAATGCTTGAGCAATTTGATACAGGTAAAAGGAACTCCAGTGTGGTGATATTTTGTGTATGCTCTAACAAATAAAGCTTGCCTGAGATCAGAGGGCAAAGCCAGCTACAGAGTTAGCCATCGAGGCCAGGCAGTGGTGGCACACACCTTTAATCCCAGCACTTGGGATCTCATGTCTTTGCTCCATGTGTTTAGGAGGCACATAGGCCTTTAATCCCAGCACTAGGGAGGTTGAGACAGGAAGTGATGTGGCTGGGCAGAGAAAAGGAATATAAGGCGGGAGGGGACAGGAGCTCAGCCCCTTTTCAGCTGAGGAGTTGGTCAGGTGAGAGGTGGCTGTGGCTTGTTCCTTTGTTTCTCTGATCTTTCAGCATTTCACCGATATCTGGCTCCGGGTTTTTATTAAGACCAGTTAGGATTAGTTTGACACTCCAGTGTAAGTCTTACTTTACAGAAAGAAAGGGAGCTTGGAATGTATTGCAATGGGACGTAGTGGGGTGTCCTGCCGTCCAAGCTACTCAAGAATCAGAGACAGAAACACCTCTTGAGAGAGGAGTTTGAAGCCAGCGTAGGCTACACAGTAAGTTCCCAGACAGACTGGACAACACAGTAAGACCCTGTCTTAGAAAACACCAAAACAAACAGAAAGAACCAAATGAAGATGGGATGTCTTCAAAATGAAAACTGTTTGCTTTGACAAAGACAGAGATGATCTCGACATTCCCTGCCTGCAGAATCCCTCCTCTCTCTCATCGACTGGATTCCCAGAGCTCTGGGACGTCGAGATCATGATGGGAGGACATACAGAGATGACCGGCCACACTAGTGGAAGCCCATGAACTGTGGACTGGTGGCTGTGGAGCCCCCGTGGGACTGGACTAGGCCCTCTGGATATGGAAGATGGTTGTTTGGCTCGAACTGTTTGGGGGGCACCCAGGCAGGGGGGTCGAGATCTGTCCCTGGTCTATGGGCAGGCTTTTGGGAATCTGGTGCCTGTGGTGTGGCACTTTGTGCAGCCTTGGTGCAGCGGGGAGGGGCTTGGGCCTGCCTAGGTTCAGTGTGCCGGGCTCTGCTGACTCCCCATGGGAGACCTTAATTTGGGGGGTGTGGGGATGTGGGGTGGCTAGGGAGGGAGAGCAGGAGGGTAGGAGGAGGGAGGAGGGGGGATCTGTGGATGGTTTGTAGAGTGAGTAGAAAATTTCTTAATAAAGAAAAATGAAAAAAAAAAAAAAAAAGACGAGATGCTGAGAGAAAGGACCATAGGTAGCTAAAACACTTCTCACACTTCTGACAGTGAGCTCATTACGACACCCATAACATTCTTTTTTATAAAATAAAATACTCTCAAAACTCAATATTACAGAAGCAAAAGAAGATGGGATCCAAATAGCAAATAAGTACATGGAAAGATGGCTCAGACTGAGACTACCACTTTGTAGCCCTAATAGCTAGAAGTGGGTACAATAAAGAACAACAAAGTCAGAACTGATGAGGATATTGAGAAACCGGGTCCCTCAGGACTGCTGTTGGAATGTGCAGTGGACGATGACTTGGCAGTTTCTGACAAACTGACCACACAGTTATATTTCTCAGCAGTCACAGTACTTTATTTTGTTGTTGTTTTGGAGACAGGGTTTCTCTGAGTAGCTTTGGTGCCTATTCTGGATCTCTCCCTGTACACCAGGCTGGCCTCAAACTCACCGAGATCCACCTGGCTCTGCCTCCCGAGTGCTGGGATTAAAGGCCTGTGCCACCACCGCCCAGCTAGAATAAATTCCTTTTATACTAAAAAAATAAAAGATTATATTCACACAAAACTTGTATATGATTGCTCATAGCGACTTTTCCATAGTTAACCAAAAGCTGAAAATAACCAAAATGTCCCTTAAGCAGTGAATTTCTAAACAAGCTGTTTTAACAGGGGATGTCCACACCATGAAATACTACTGGAGCTGTTAGGGTCAAACCTGACCCCTGGTAGCCCAAACAAGCTGGGCTCAGGCACCAGTTCCAAACAGGTCAATTAAACCAACAATAGTGAACAGCAGAGGATTTTTAAATAAGTAAATAAGTTAATAGACTTGTGTCCACTGCTCTCCTAGAGATTTGTAGTTAATACATGATATTCACTCCCTGTTGAAAGGGCAGGGGAGTGCCAGACTGGGGAGCGTGGTGTGCTCTTCCCAGGGCATAGCGCTGTTCCTTGTTTAGGACTTAAATTGACAACACTGTGGAGATTATCTTATGAGAAAGTCCTTGCCATGTCAGGGTGTCCTGGCACAGAAGTTATTTCAGGTTACAGAAATGATTGTTTACTTCTAATTTTTATGTAGTAATTTCCTTAGAGTCTGTGCCTGTTAGGTGAGCCATCCCTAACCCTATGCAGGTACCAGTGAAGCAAAATGCATGGCTCGTTATTTGGGGCCACACATTTGATTTGAGGGCTTAAGCTATGACACTTGTGTAAGGGTCTCCCCACGGAGGGTCACTTTGTGGACTTGGACCACTGCAATTTTTGTTCTAAGTGATTATTAGGGCGTAGGGCCCATTTGGCTAGGAAACACGCACGGAGTTAGCGTGGAGGCCGGGGCCTAGGGGAAGGACCTAAGGCTGGGGATAGAGTTTGCCCTGGCCCTACCGCTTCCTCTTCAGTTGGGTGCTCAGACCTCTGACCTGCTCTCACCACCGCCAACTGACCCCACCCGCTACCTCCTGCGCAGACTCGGAAAAGCCTCTCCCCCCATCCTCTGCGCATGCAGCGGGTGATTGTGAAGGGCACCTCTTGTAACCAATCAATATCCGCACGCTGGGCTGGGGGGCGTGATTGGACTGAAGGAGGGCGTCGACTGAGGGCGGGTGCACCATACTGGCCAATCCCCGGAGGCCATGCGGTCCCTGCCCAGTTAGAGGCGCCACCTCACGGTCCTGGGCATCGGTCCCGGTAAGGCTGGGAATGTCCCGGGCGGAGGCGGCTCAGACTTGAGTAGCGCACCACCCTGCACGGCTGTGTTGCAGGGCCCGGGAGGCTCACTGTTCCGAGATGGCCGGGCAGGCAAACCAAGATGTGAAGTACTACACCCTGGAAGAGATTCAGAAGCACAAAGACAGCAAGAGCACTTGGGTGATCCTGCACCACAAAGTGTACGATCTGACCAAGTTTCTGGAAGAGGTGAGCTGGGCACGCACACTTCGGTGGGGCGCGGGGAGGGTGGCCCCGGCTTTGGGTCTCCCCGGCGTGACCTGGGACCGATGTCTGAATACGCGTTATGTGTGAGTGTGCATTTGTTTGCGTACATTTAGGGAGACCCTCTGCGTCTGCACACTTGTGTTAGCTTCTGAGCATGCTCACCTGCGTGTGCACACCTGTGTCAATGCTCCTGAGCGTCTTGGGTTTGCACATCTTGGCTTGTCTCCGGGAGGCTGGGAAGCATCCGAGCAGTGTGAGCGGTTTTTGCAGGCTGCTACGGGGGGAGTATTTGCGGGCCAGAGCTGGATTCCTACCAGGTGCTCAGGAGTGTCCTGAATAAATGCTACCCACTTGCTAGGAGAAGGCACAACTGTGTAAGAATTTTAAAAGATCCCCTTTTCTTTTTTGCCTTCTTGTGTTTGCATATAAGGCCCTCTCTCCTTGTGGAACAGAGAACCCCTCGATTTCCGAATGCACTTCTAGTAACATCCGGTTGGAGACCGCTTTTCTGAAGAGGTGTGGGGTTCCAAAGGGCTCTCTAGGGTCAGAAGTCCAGGAGGGGACACCCCCAGGGCCACCCTGAAGTCCAGACCCATATGTTCACCAGTGTTCACTTAACAGAGAGTGAATGTTGACAATTTTACTGCTGTAGTGACTTGTGCGAGAGCCCCAGCGCCTGATTGGTGGGTGACCAGATGACTCCCTACCTGTACTTTGAGCTAATACAAGGGAAGGCAGGTAGGCAGCATGGTACAGTCAGAAAACTGGAGCTTCAGCCTTAAGCTACTTCGGAGGTTGTAAAATGGTTTAATTTAGAGGGAGACACTTAACTTTGACAATGCTGGTCGCAAAGTTGTAGTTTTTGCTGTACAGCCCAAGGGACATTTTGTTGTTTTTAATCTTTATTCCTTCGGGACACACTTTTGCTTTGATGGCGTTTTGAGTCACAACACAATTTCTACATCCCACTTCTTCCCAATAAATAAGAGCGCTTATTGATGGGGACGATTTGCATGTGTTTTGTTTGTGGGCTGGGCAAAAGTAGAGGCTCAGTCAGCTAGATTATAATTTACATCGAGACATTTGTTTTGCAGAGAATGTTAAACACAGGAAAAACTTGAAAGTTTGGAGTTGATGTCTCTTGGTAAAATACTTGACTGTTAATGATAAAATGGGGTTCCAATTTAATTGGGAGTGGATTGCAGTATGGACTCAGATCTACCTCTCTTCTGCTGACCCCAGAGCAGGTTTCCCTGCATGATAAACCCAGACCCATGTGGTGACTGATTCTTCACATGGAACTGTCACTTTAGCCCCTTCCCATGATATGTGTAATTCTGGATTCTGGAATTTTATGATACAATGTGTCCCTTGACTTTGTATGTATAATAAACTGTAGCATTTGTACAAAACAAAACATTGGGATATTTTATACTATAAAGCCGTTTTAACTTGTCCCATTGTCCTTTCAAACAAGGTCTTTAGACCTTCGTACTGTTGATCTTTTAGGTCGCTGTCCTGTGTTCACTGGATGTCTGTCCAAGTACTCCTGTCCTAACAGTGACAACCAACACTGTCTCCAGATCCTGCCAAATGTCCAACAGGACATGTAGTTGCTCCTGATTGAGAATCGCTGCCCTAAAATACATTGTGTATGACTTTTAGAAGTAGATCTTTGAAGTAGCCAACAAGGAAGAGATGATTAAATTACACTCAAAACTGTTTATTCTCTTGGTTTTTTTTTTTTCCATGAGGCAAGAAAGGGGTGAGAGAATTCGCCAGGTTTTCTGGGCTCAGCTGAAGAGCTAAGAAGCAGCCACTCCGTTGGGAAACAAGCTGGAAAACAAATCCTTTGTTCTCTGCCAGTTATCAGCACCCCATCTTTGAGCATGGCTTGGAAAGAACGCTTCTTGAGCAATGTGGGGAAGCTCCCTGGGAGTCAGTCCGCTAAGGAGATGATGGAGAAAGTTGGGTTTGGGAGACTCAGAGAGTGGTTGGGTCCTGTTGACTGACTTAAGGGTTAGTGGGACCAAGGGACCCACCTGCTTTTCTTACCCTGTTCTCACTATGTGTGGATGTCCTAGCATGCTGGAATGTAGCAGGAGCATTTCCGTGACTGTCAGGCTTCTTAGTATATCCAGATTCTGCCTGGTGTCCACAGGTTTCTCCTCTTGGCATTTTTGTGGCTGGCTTTTACTTCTTATGACTGCTTGTCTTACACAGTGTCCTAACCACTGGCTTTCCACCCCCAGGGTAGTGTTGCCCTTAGGCTCTGTGTGTGTGTGCCAGAGCTGTACCGTCCCTGAAGATGACTGCCTCTGTCCATTTGGGTTACAGCTTCCACACACATCTCATTCAGCTCAGCTGTGAGGAATGCTCCCAGACAGTTTTTCTTCTGTCTAGATTCCCCGAGTTTCAATTATTTTGTTAGGTCTATGCAGTTTATCACAGGCTTTGGTTTAAAACAAAAATATTTTGCAAGACCCAGAGTGTCTGGCCCTCTGCCCCAATTTCCCACCCTTCCCTCCCTTTCATCTACATTTCAAGGCTCCAGAAATTTCATGAAACACATGAATTGAAGACTAGTCCATCCTTGCTAATTTAAAAATGAAAAAAAAGGGGACTGGGAGGAGCAGCCTCCATACCTCCAAATGAACTTTCTGTCATCTGGAGCTGTGTCTCCACAAGCTCTGGATTCACCTGTCCATGCAGTCATGTGCTCCTGGGTTATCTTCTCCTCCTCTGAGAATACCTCATTTCTGTGAGGAAGGGTGTGCTGTGATGTTGCTTGGTTCCTGCTCCTCTGTCTGCCTTCTTCTGTGCCTTAGATCCCTCATGTGTAAAGAGGAGACTATAGCAGTGCCTGCTTGCAGCTGACATAGGAATTAAAGCCTTGACTAGTGTAATGTGCACGCCTATAATCTTAGCATGTCCAGGACTCAGGAGTCAGAGACAGGAGAATTGCCAAGAGTTAGAGAGGCCAACCTGGGCAACAGAGACAATCTGTCTCCAGAAACCAAAACTAGAAACAAACAAACAAGCATGTTTGCTAACCACAAACCAAGGTGAATGTCCCTGCTCCTTTGTAAACAGCGTTCGGGGACACACTTGGGCTGTGATTTCCCTTTTGCAGTATCATGTGTGGTCGAGTGCTTGAGCTGTGTCATTCGGGAACATGTAAATCCAGAAGGTGATCTTGAAATAGGAGAGTATTAGAAAAACTATCTTTCTAGTCAAGAACACAGATCAAAGGTTACTTGTGCAATGTGAACTCTGTCTTCCTGAAATAGTGTTCTAAGGTTCAGAGGATGGGTAGAAATCCAAGAGGGAGGGCAGGCTAATATAAAGGCAATCTAAACAGCAGCAGGTGTTGGATTCCTATCTGGTGCCTGCCAACAGGATTATAAACCTCATTACCTATAGATTTAACACCCCTCCCCTTTTTTTCTAGTCCTGACCCCCAGGTTTTTAGTTTATTTTTGTGAAATTGAGTCTTGTCATATCAGATCATGCTATTAAGCAGGTTAATGATTATAGAAATTTGAGAGATCATTGTTTGAAATCTAAACAGGTGTTTAGGGCCAAAGAACAAGTTTGCATTTCCCCCTTCTGTGGTCGGGCCAGGTTTTAGCAGAGCTGTGGAGGGAGGGAAGAAAGCATCATGTAATAATCCTGTTAGTTACCTTTCCGTTCTGGGCAGTGTGCGTGTTTGTACATAGACATCTCTTGGACTGTGTCATAAGGCAGGTTGACCTTCCTCCCCATGGAACATTTTCTAGTGATCCTGAGATCCTGCTGTTTTTAAACTGAGCCTTGAATGGTCTTTGAAAGCATTCTGCCTTGCAGAAGCTGTTAGCTTCTGACTCATATTGGCTTTTGGTGGTCTTAATTTTACTTTTTGTGGCTGCTTATCTCCCGTAGACATGTGAAGGAGCCCTCAGTAATGGCAGTGCTTAGGCATCCTGGGTAAACAGGCAGCAAAGTGACATCCAGCAAGGCCACCTGGGGACTGCATCTGCATGTCTTTTAAGTATTTCTACAGTTTGGGGGATTTTCTGAAAAAAAGGTTCCAGCTTTGTTTTAAAACAGTAAAAACCAAAACAAAACAAAGGCACCACATCACACTCCAGGCACCTAAATCTCATTTTTTTGTGTTTATGGTGATGAAAATTTTATAAATAAGGAAGTAAAACAGGTTATACAGGCCAGTGGGAGTGAAGCAGGGACTGTTAAGACACTAATCACTACTTAATATGGATATCTGTTATTCTAGAAGACTCCAAAAACACTGTAGGAGACAGCCCAGAGTACGTCTCTTGTGTAATAGGATCTGAATAATTCGGGTCCTCCTCCACTCCTGGGAACATGTTGGGCTGCAGTGGCAAGTCTGGTTCTGGTCTTAGAACACTGGGAAAAATGATATACATGAAAAACGTGTAAAGAGAAGGTGTTCGGACAATTAGAAATGTTGGGTTTTTTTGTTGTTATTATTGTTATTTGTGTTTTGTTTTTTTGCACTGAGGATTGAACTCGGGGCCTTGAGCATGCCACTGAGCGATGTCCCCACTCCTTGCTATTTTATTTTACTGTGAGACAGGTCTTATACAGGTTGGCCTTCAACATGTGATCCCCTTACCTCAGCCTCCTGCGTGCTGGGATTACCAGGGTGTGCCACCATACCCACCTCACATGATTACATTGTGATTTCTGTCGTCTTGGGGTGAGGATATGGCTTAATGGCAGAGTATTATATAGGGTGCTCAAGGCTGTGGGTTTGTTCCCCAGCACTTGAAAAAAAATATTCCCTTATAAGTTGTCATAATTTTTGCTGTGTGTGAAGGAGTACAGCACTCTGTTCTCCCCAACTTGAGGCCTATAGTGTTTGGAAGATAACCAATACAGTTTTCAGTGGAATCAGCCCATGGTCGGAGTGCCTTGGAGAGAATAAGGCAAGCTGTGAAGCAGAGATAGAACGAGGTGAA